TAATACCTACTATGTGCCAGACACTGTTCTCAGTATTAACTTTAGTCCCTTCCATTAGGAGCCATTATCTAGTGGAATAAGTAAGCATATGACAATCCATCACATCTTAAAGGGATTAATGCTGGTAAAGATACATTGGAAGGTGGCTTGTCCCTGAAGAGGAACCTAAAAGGCTGAGAGGTAGAAACTGCCAGGCATATTAAGGGCTGCAAACCTTTGGGACAGGGTTGGTGAAGAGTGAGAAATGCATTTCTGAGGTAAAAACTAGGTCTGATTATGGAGGACCTTGAATGCCTCCTATGACTTCATAATGAGGATAATAAATAGTAACACACTTATTACCTAGGAGAAAGTCAAAACATGCCTGTTGATGTTATGAAATTGTCATGTGTTAAATTTAATTGCAATATCTAACAATATCACATAAAATACAGCATTTTTACATTGTCAATTCATATGTATCTCAAGAATGGGTAAACTCACTTTTTTTTTAATACCTAAAATTTCTGAAAGAGATTTTTGAGTACAAAACAAGAGCAAGCAACAACCCCTAAAACATGTGAAGACCTGCAGTAGTGACACTAATCTTTTAAAGCAACTCTAATGGCTCTCTTTTACTAACTGTAACTCTCTGTTCTTCTCCAAATCCAGTTTTTATAATGCATTGCTTTGGTCAAGTGAGAGAAGTCTATAGCCCTTTAACACTGTGCACCTGCTAATCTGTGGAGTGGGCAGAGTGGCCAGGAAGATCTGTGTGCATTGAGGCAAAATCTGCATCTATGTTGTCCAAGTCTTAGGCATGACTGCACCTGATATGAGCCTCAAACTGTGCTTTAGAAGAACATCTAGGCGGGCACGGTGTCTCACGCCTATAACTAGCATCTGGAAGCCGAGGCAGGAGGATCACTCAAGGTCAGGAGTTCGAAACCAGCCTGAGTAAGAGTGAGACCCCATCTCTACTAAAAATAGAAAGAAATCAATTGGCCAACTAAAAATATATAGAAAACATTAGCTGGGCATAGTGGCACTGCCTGTAGTCCAGCTACTCGGAGGCTGAGCAGGAGGATTACTTGACCCAGGAGTTTGAGGTTGCTGTGAGCTGGGCTGATGCCACGGCACTCTACCGGGCAACAAATTGGAGACTCTTCCAAAAAAAAAAAAAAGAATATCTAAGTATCAGACCCCCAGTAGGCTTCAGACTGAAACACAGATATGCTGTACTCTTTGAAGGCGCTTATTATTGACGTATAAATCCTAGGAGAAAAGTGGTCTCCTTTTATGATTCCTCAGTGTGAAAGCAATGGAAAGACCCAAGTAAAGGAAGGGGTAAGGGATAGATTTCTGTTCAGGGAGAAAATTACAAGGTTTCCTATCTACTGTTATGCAGTTAATCACTCACTACCTTTGTTTTATCACACAGGATTACCTCTTTCCTATACATGGAAGCTTTATTGAAAAATAAAGGGGGGACTATTATAGTCCCTGTTTGTTTTGCACAGAGACTAATGTATTCTGCTCATGCTAGCTAAAAAACAAAGTCACACGTTAGCCAAAGGAGTATGTACATGATGAAATACATGTGATTTGATTTATTTTAACTCCACCCTAAATTAATAAATGATGAGTTTTCATTAGTACCATGTCCAGAGAGTTTTATGAGTAAAAAATTAATCTTTCACAGCATACCTATCCCTTTCTCATGCTTTTTATCATCATTCATTGCAGAATATGTTTAGAAGGTAATGATTTTTAATGACTTACATTAAATGTGAGAGGAGACTATCTGCCAGAGAGTTCTGGCCATGGCACTACTATTCAAAAAGAATATAAAGTAATCCAAAAGATTACCTGAGGAATTAAAGCACCCAACAAATCATTTAACCCACTCACTCCAACCACATTCTGGCTTGGCTCTGATAAAGGAAAATCCAAAAATTTTAGTTGTAAATAGGATCCCTAGATTTTTTGTGCGACTCATTTTTTTCTTATCAAAACCAGATTAAGTTTTTATTGTCTTTTGGCAAATGTTGTATGAAGTTAATTATCTTAATCTTTTATAATAGCCTAGCCTCCCAAAAGAACTGTTTGCTAGGTAACTATTAACATTTTTAGGGTTGAAAATATTTTTAACAGTGATATCTATAAATAATAATTAGAATATAATAAATTATTGCAAAAATTCCAGCTTTTTGTGTGAATCCTCTGATGGACTCTCTTAATAGCCCGCCACAGTGTAGTTTGCAAGTTTGACAGATTGTGTTTTGCTCATCTCTCTCTCTTCACAGTGTCTGGCGCATTGCCTGGCACCCGGAAACTACTCCGTAATATTTAGGAAGATGAAACAGAAGGAATCTCTTGCCTGTTCCATTCATACTTTACATTAGAAATTTGAAGTTCCTGTAGTAAAGATTTCATTTTAAATTGGATACCAGAAATATTTATAATCCCATTAAATCAACGAGTGTGTAGTTGCTTGCAGTTTTAACAAGATTTGAGATTTGAGTCCTTAATAATACAGTTTAAATGTTAATGTGGTTTTCAAGTAAGAATTAAAGATGGTTAGTCTGTACTGCTAATAGAGAATGAGAAATTAAACTAAAAAATAGTAGCATTGTTTCATTCTATAGTTTACATTTTCTGGCTCACATCATGAAATTTCCCCAAGGTTTTAAGTTCATTGTTTATATTAGTTTTATATTTTTACCCAAATGAGTTTTTCATTTGCATTTCTCTTTCCTGAATAGTTTAATTCTGTTATACTGTCAAAGGATTTAGAACCTACAGTATTCCTTTAGATGTATGTTATTTTTCAATTATTATTAGTGTTAATAATTGTCCAATATCTCCTTTCTCAAAAATGGAAAGTCTGTTTTCACTTACTTACAGTGCCCTGCTAAGCAAGCCAAAATGGCCGTCATTTCTCAAAGTGCACAAATAATAATCGGTGTGACTTTACTAAGCCATGAAACTCATTAATAGTTAATTTAAAATAGTTAATTAAGATTATTGATGCTGGACTTTGGAAATATATTGCTTCCTTCCTGCTCAGTTTAATGAGGTCAAAGCCTAGGGTTGAGAGCCACCTTATTCACCTGCAAAAGTATATTTGTCTGACGTAAAGCAAGACCCATTCAGTCTAAGAGTTTATTATTCAGAATTTAAGGTTATGTAGGCTAGTAATAAACATATGTAAGTAATGCCTTAATAGTAAATTTACAGACTATAACAGTTTTTATAAGTTGTTAGCATCTGAATCCTTGTTAAAAATAGATAAGTACTTTTATTTGAAAACTTAGACTTTTATGTTAAAAGTTAACAAAGGATAAGATTAGAGAGACACAGTTTTAAAGCATTCAGACCGACCTTGGAATTATGTGGGCGGATGAAGAGAAGTTTAGTAACAAGGGCTCTGAGGAAGAGGGTTGTTCTTCTAATAAGAATTTATATCCAAGGAGATTTTAGATTTTGTTTTTAATGTTTCTGGAAAGTATAGATATGGCAGAGATCCCTGACTCCAAATCCATAGTTAAATAATTTTCATGCAATTTCACTGGATTAAAGCAGAAGGCTCTGTGGATTTCATTTATCCCTGCCTCTCGTTCTGTCCCATGCCTCAGTTCTAGTTCCCTACAACCTGATCTAATTTTATGTCCTAATTTTTCTTTATTAGGATTATGGACACATAATCCTCCACATTTACCTCCTTTAAAAAAAAAACAAACCTTGTTACGACTGTTATTACTGGCTAGAGACTGTCTTTAGAGGTACAGAAAGAGAAAGGCTGCTCTTTTTGCCTGCCTGACTTTTCAGCACAGTCTCTTAGTCCATCCTGAAAGCATGAAAATATCTATCAGGGAGGACTTAGCAAGCCAAAGTACTATGGAATTCAGAACTGCGGGCCCTGATTAAAAGTAAACATTTGGGGGAATATTGCAAGAGATTTCCTAGATCCTAGTTCATACCCCACGCCTCCTCAGGTGACTAATATTGTGTTTCAGATGGAGGGAATCTGGCCTATTATAAACAGAGAAATTACTCAGATTAAGAAAAAGACTCGAGTTTGTAACCTCTTTACTATGAGTCAACTTGCCTGGAAAAGTGTACAGTAAGCTCTCAGTTACCTACGTAAAAGAGCAGGACAGTGATGTCAGATTGTGAGCATGTACCTCAAAGCCAGGGGTTATGTCCAATTCAGGGACTTCAATACCTGCCTTTTAGGAGGTATTCAAGACATGCTTTTGAACACAGAATTCATCGTGTGTAGAATAGCCTTACAAAGGTGCTTTTTCCTAGAGATTTTTTTTCAATTGAACATTCTCTATTTGGCCCAGAAAGAAGTCATCCTGGCCTTAAAGGTATTCTGTACACAAGTACAGTAAATGACCAGTGATTGATTGAGCTTCCTACCTCAGCACCATCACATTTAAGGTGTTGCTTATTAATTGGATATGTTATGAAATTCTTTTCCCTTAGGGAAAAAAAAGCCCCAAAGACGACTCCTGCAACCTGTATCTCTTAGGAGATTTTCTGAGTAATTCGTTTTGGGTTTCACTGAGGTATTGATTCCCTCAAATGTGTGTACCACACACTTTTGAAGTTTTTTTTTATTTTATTTCATCATATTATGGGGGTACAGATTTTAAGGTTTCAATAAATGCCCTTTTCCCCCCATGCATTTGAAGTTTGCTAACCATTTTATCTTGGTGAAATGTGTACCTCATGTTCTTATATTCAGCTGTTTTTCTATTGTCTCTCAACATGACCTGAAATTTTAAAAACCTGATAAATATTGAGATATTTTACTGTCCCATCACCCAAACTTTATCATGAATCTAGTGATACGTGTGTATGTGTTTTCTGATATTATCTTTACAACAATGTTTTCTGTGTATATCATATAAACTGCTTAAATTAGGGACAATAAGATTTTCAATGAAATTAACTATATTTTCAAATGTTCTACTTTTTTTCTCTGTTGCTTTTGCCCTTCCTGATCGAAGTCTAGGAGAGTAAGTCAATACTTTCTGTGAAAATTGTCCTATGTCTAAAGACCTATGTTCTCATTCTGCAGTTCAACATTGCTCATTTATTTCTTGTATTTTCATGACATAATGGCTGTTTCTAGTCATGCAGTCCTTAGAAACCATGGTTAAGTATCAGTGCAGAGCTAATATTAAATCAGGTGTGTTTGCATCTTGTTATTGGTTTGGCCTTTGTCACCCCCTTCACCACAGCATATGCTTTTCACTGCCATAGAAATGTCTCCTTAAATTAAAAGTATGGTTGTATGTGTATTTTACAGAGCGCTAGTTAGTTTCAAGAAAAGAAATTTACAATAATTGTTAATACCGCACTCAGAAGGTTCCCTTTTTGTTTGTGGGTATTTTAGCAGAATATGTAAAGGGAGAAAAGGGCAGCCTAAGGGAAGAACACCTTTAGGTTGCATGGACTTTGTTTTGTGGTTTGCCTCAGTTTTTGCAGACCTTCCTGTGTTTGCCTCTGCTGCTAGTGTGAACTGGTTGGAGTCATACAAATGCAATGTGTTTGTTTGAGCTCAGTTCAGAGTAGATCTGGGTTCTGAACTAGAATAGGAGACCGGGACCCCAAGCCCCAGCTCTGCCTCGGACTTGTTTTGTAATTCTGGCAATTGTCTACTTGCCCTGTTTCCTCCTCCACCATAAAGGCAAGAACCTGCCAGCTCTTAAAGTTCCATACTTCTCTTAGACCCAGACTGATGAGCAAAGGCTCAGTGACAGAATAGAGTCAAGGATTTGAGAATTGTCTCTGGTTTTTGTTTAATTTGTGGGTTTCTTTTCCCTAGGATTCACAGAGCCGGCAAGGAGGATATAGCATGCATCAACTCCAGGGCAATAAGGAATATGGCAGTGAAAAGAAGGGGTACCTGCTCAAGAAGAGTGATGGGTATGTATGAGCCCAGCCCAGTTGCCCAGTGTGGGATTAGCACACTTACTGCGAGTTGTTAGCCTAGGAACTTTTTCCAGCCTCTCAAATAGGAAAACACACTTAAAAGTTTTATAATGCATTAGCTGCAGAACTTTACCACACTGATTTTCTTCAAATAAGGCTGAGATTTAACTTGTCTTTAGAAGAAGCAGTAATTGTTCGGTGGCCCCTAAATGACATCTTTCACTTGTAACACACAATTTTAGGAAGGCAAATATTGAGTGGCACGTGAACCAAACGCATGTTGACCTCATACTCACCCCCCTCTCTGCTTTCATTCATTGCAGTTTTTTTTGTTTTTTTTTTTTTTTGCCTGTATGCCCATCAGGCTGCCCAACCTTGAGGGTGACCCTTGACTCCTCTATTTCTCTTAAATCGCAGCTAATCTGACAAAAGCCCTTCCATTTCTAACTCTAAAAATAGTACACTTCTTGCCATCTCCATGGCCTCTTCTCTAGGATCAGCTACTGTCATCTCTCCTGGACTATTTCACTAGCCTCGTAACTGGTCTCTGTGTCACTCATGCTTTTTTCCCCTCCAGTTCACCTCAACAAAGCACCCAGAGTGGTCTTTTAGAAATCATAAAGCACATGATGTCATTCCTCTGCTTAAAATTCCTGGTGGCTTCCCATTGCACGTAGCATCTCTCCCTTGCCTTCCTCTCAAGCCTCATCTTGTGCCACCTTCTCCCCTGGTCCTGCCACCTGGGCCTTCTTTCTGTTACTTGACCAGTTGATTTTGCCTCACAGTAAGTGTATAAGTAGAATCTTGACTATTCCCTTTACTGAGTGTCATCATTTTTTTAAAAAAAAGCTCCTTGTTTTCTGATTGCTTGTAGATATTGTTTATTGGCTTTATCTACAACATATACGTTTTTTATTGTACTTTGTTTGCTAAAATTGCAAATATTTCTCTTACAAATATCTGGGATCACTGTTTTGCTCATCATTCTACTCATGATTCAACAGATGTCTTTTGGGAGTCCTGCTATATGTCTAAGACTCTTCTAGGCCCTAGGAATATAGCAGTCCTTACTGTGATAGAGCCTACATTCTAAAGGGGGAACTAGACAAAAAATAAGTAAATATATTGTAGGTCAGATGGAAATTAGAGATGTCTTTTTTTTTTTTTTTAAGACAAGAGTCTTGCTCTGTTGCCTGGACTAGAGTGCTGTCGTGTCAGCCTAGCTCACAGTGACCTCAAACTCCTGGGCTGGAGCAATCCTTTTGCCTCAGCCTCCTGGTAGCTGGGACTACAGGCATGTTCCACCATGCCCAGCTAATTTTTTCTATATATTTTTAGTTGTCTGGCTAATTTCTTTCTTTCTTTCTTTATTTTTTTTTTTGAGACAGAGTCTCACTTTGTTGCCCAGGGTAGAGTGAGTGCTGTGGCATCAGCCTAGCTCACAGCAACCTCACACTCCTGGGCTCAAGTGATCTTTCTGCCTCAGCCTCCCGAGTAGCTGGGACCACAGGCATGCACCACCATGCCCGGCTAATATTTTCTATACATATTAGTTGGCCAATTAATTTCTTTCTATTTATGGTAGTCTTGCTCTTGCTCAGGCTGGTTTTGAACTCCTGACCTCAAGCAATCCGCCCGCCTCGGCCTCCCAGAGTGCTAGGATTACAGGCGTGAGCCACCACACCTGGCCTGGCTAATTTCTTTCTATTTTTAGTAGAAACGGGGTCTCACTCTTGCTCAGGCTGATCTCGAACTTCTTACCTCAAGTGATCCTCCTGCATCGGCCTCCCAGAGTGCTAGGATTACAGGCCTAAGCCACAGCACCCAGCCCAAGAGATTTCTTTCTATGAAGAAAGATAAAGCAAGGCCAAGAGATGCAGATGGTGTGGTGGGTGGGGGTGGTTCTTGCTGTCATACAGGTGATCATGGAAGACTTCATTGGGGTAATGTTTGAGCAAAGACCTGAAGGAAGTGAGAGAGCGGTCTACACAGATACCTGGGAGAAGAAGGAATAGCCAGGATCATGCTTCTCATGGTGATTGATACTCAGGAGTTCTGCTTAGCTGGAATGGAGTCAGCAAGCTGGGAGGTCATAGGTCAGCAGGCCAGGGAGCCACTGAGGGAAGTGGGAGTCATCAGAAGGTTTTGAGCAAAGTGGTGACATAACGCAACATGTTTTAAAAGGTTCTCTCTGGTACCATGCCAAGAATGACTGTGTAGGGTTTAAGAGCAGTTAGGAGGCTGCTTCAGAAACCCAGATGGGAGATGATGGTGGGGTGGGTGAGCAGCAGAAGAAGATGGTAAGTTTCAGCAGAAGAGATGGTAAGATGCCCATGCATTAGTAATTTTTGACCCTAGTTTTGGAATGTTCCTTGGTACTCAAAGGATTGTTATACAATTTGAAAACAATTAAAAATATTTTTAAAATAATTTCAAAACTTTAAGGTCCAAAGGCATTTATTGAGAAGCAAAGGAACAATTGCTTTATTATATTTTCTCTTTACATGTAAGACAGTGGACATTATTATATTTTCATGATACAGATAAGGAAAGTGAAATCTCCAAGAGGTCATGTGACAATGAACAAAGTCACATAGCTAGTGGGTGATGGCGCTGTGATCAAAGCTCAAATGATCTAACATAAAAATTGGTACTCTTTTAGTTATACAAGGCCACTTTCATTTTCTTTTTCTTTTTCTTTTTTTTTTTTTTTTTTTTTTTTGAGACAGAGTCTCACTCTGTTGCCCGGGCTAGAGTGCCATGGCGTCAGCCTACCTCACAGCAACCTCAAACTACTGGGCTCAAGCTATCCTGCCGCCTCAGCCTCCCAAGTAGCTGGGACTACAGGCATGTGCCACCATGCCTGGCTAATTTTTTCTACATATGTATATTAGTTGGGCAATTAATTTCTTTCTGTTTATAGTAGAGATGGGGTCTCGCTCTTGCTCAGGCTGGTTTTGAACTCCTGACCTCGAGCAGTCTGACTTCCTCGGCTTCCCTGAGTGCTAGGATTACAGGCGTGAGCCACCGCGCCCGGCCTACAAGGCCACTTTCTAATAGAAAATCTCTTTTCTGGAATTCTGAGATTCCAGCATGGCTTAACCTGTAATTGTGGGTGGCACTCTTAGTGAACACCAGATTGCAGGAATACTAGGTTATGTCCATTCAGGAGCTACACAGACTCAAGCATCCATAAAGCATTCAGTACAGAAAGGGGAGACCACAACAACTGAGGCTAGTCCATGAAAGTCTCAGGAATAAAAGCTATCAAAGAGTTCACAGAGATCGGGTGCTGCTGCTTTGAACTGTGCAAGGGTACATCTTGAGATTATTCCCTTTCTTGCAATCATTAGCAATTTCTGTTAACCAGAAAGAGTAATGCTTTTGTTTTACATTCCTTGGCTTTATTAGCAGTGCAGGAGAATATGGTTTTTTTGTTTTGTGTTGTATTTCCGTAATATACATGTGTAAGAAAAACTAATGAATAAAGACTTAAAGTGAATAAACTGAAGTTTCAAACTATTTCTCAAGGTCAAATAGTTTGATTATTAGGATGGTTGTTTAATATTTAAAAATGTGTTGCTAGAGAAAGGTGACACTGGTTTTGGCTTAGTATGTACACAGATACCTCATCCCTCACCTTTTGTGAGGGTAACATGGGATGCAAAACTACTTGCAAAGAGTAGCCAAATGCAGCTATGATTATTTTTTGACGGATATTACTTCTAATCAAACATTTTCCTGGCCAGTACATCCAGATGAAAGTGTGTGATTTAGCTGTAATTTGAGGATGGTTCTTCAGTTAGTGGTTCTAAATTACCTCCTGAGGAGACTAGCATTTTGAGCACAGTGTGCTCAATTTTCATTTGGTCAGATGGTGTCAAATTCGCATTTCTCTCTGTAAAGCATACTTTGGAAGAAACTGTGCTTCTAGTAGTTATATATACAATATTATCTGTGTTTAGAGTTGGTTTTATAGTGCGTTGTGCAGTTTTCTTACAGGACTAATTTAAGAAGGAAAAGAAAAACACAAAATTGATATTGTTTTAAATGCCTGGGATGCCACAGTGGTCTCCTCTAATGTCATTTGTTTCCGTGGCAATAGAAGGCCTGTGAAGCCCTCTCCCAGCCTAGGGAATCCCCGTTCCCTGCCCATTTCTATTTACCTGATGGAAGTGGTCTCGACTACTGCATTTGTACCTGCCTGCATATGCGTGGATATGCCACACATGTAGTCTCTTTCCTGTGCCTGGAGTTTCACACACAGAAAAACCTTTTCCAAGCTGAAATTAGTTCTCGTTGGCTTTTTCCATCCTTCAGCATCATCAAATCAAACTTTTCAAAATGTGTATCACTCACAACTACTTGTGAATGGTTTGGCCACTATTTACTTTGCTACATGAATCAGGAACAGTTCTCTGAGGCATCATTTTGGTCCTGGAAGACCCCTAAAGGGCAAGTGTACAAGTTACCCAAAATAATGATATATTCTTGAGCCCTAAACCCTAAGCTACTTTCTCTGTATACTGAGGCATCCCCATCCCCACTCTTCCTTGCATGGCAGACCTCTTGAGTTATGTTCTTAATATGTTAAAATCAATTATTAATTATAGAAATAATTGGTTAATACAACCTTCTTATAAAAGATTCACAGATATGATTAAAAACTCCTTGCTGACACCTCCACTAAAATAGGTCTGGGCCCCCTTCCCAAAGAGAAATACTTTTATCAGTGTGGTAACTAAAATTCATTTATTCATTTTCCTGCTGTTAAATTTTTATTGTTTCTATTTCCCATTTTCACCATCAAAAACAGTGCTATAATGACCATCCTGTACATGTCTACTTGTCTGAATTACCTCCCACCTGGGGTAATAAAAGACACCCAGAATTTTATTTTAGGGGGTTGTGTTTTTGGCATGGGAAGTTTTTTGTATTATTATTATATATCACACTCTATAATTCATGTCTCAGAATGAATCAGCTACTATATCTAGTTGTGTTTGACTTGCTCCATAGGATCCGGAAAGTATGGCAGAGAAGGAAGTGTGCTGTCAAGAATGGGATGCTGACCATCTCACATGCCACGGTGAGTGTGTCTATTAATTTACACTTCCCATTTGTTATGCTTTCTGCCCACAAGGACCCGGAAGCAAATGAAGTGTTGTAGCCAACAGTAAAATTTTACTTAAATATGTTTAATATATGCATTTGGGTTATACAGTTTAGGATACTTTTGTACAAAAAAAAAAAAAAATGGCTTTATTTTATCCTGTGGTAGTCTGCATCATTCTGGGGCACCACCAGAAACTTTTTTTTTTTTTCTCCCTCAAACTGAGTCAAGTATTGTTTGATTTTATGATCTTATCTTTGGGGAAATAATGGTTGTTCTGAAAAACCTAATAGACTGATTTATAAAGGATCTGACAGAGGATGTTCTTTGCATGACAAAATAATGTCGGAAATTATGTAAAAATGTTCAACCTTGGTGGTAGCCAAAGAAGTACACAGTAAGTTTTACCCTTTTAAAACGAGCAAAAAAAAATACTTTTAATTCTTAAAAATGCAAAGGTTATAATGAAAATGTATCAAAGAGGAATGGAGTGGCAAAGTATATATCAAGAGTCAAAAAATATGCCTGGTTTAACCAAGTAACCTCAGCTTGGAGAAAAAGTTCATTGTTAACTTAGAGTATCCTTTGCCAGGTGTTGTCCTTGAGTTATGATAAGCAATTAATTGCTAACAGGATAGTAGAAAAGAGGGATGAGCATTTATTACATTGGCAGTTTTTCATTACTTATAGCTGAGTTTAGATTTCTATCAAGTAGGAACGGAAGTATCACTTACCTTCATAAAATTTATTTCACTTAGTCTTCTTGATACCCCATGAGGTATTATAACCTTCATTTTACAGTTGAAGAAACTGAAACACAAATAAGAGTTATAACTTGGCAAGTAACTGGCACAATTGGAAATTCAAACTTGGGTCTGTCTGACATTAGTCTTTATGACCTTTCTCTCTGTCTTCCTGAAGAACCCACTGTCCTACTCCACTGTGAATTCTCCTCTGGCATTTACCTAATCCTGTTCATCTCTGTCTTTAACCTCTCATACAGAACTTGACACAGAGAAGGTGCTCAGTATGCACTCGTGGCCAGGTCCTTCGTGGCAGATGATTGCATGCATCTTAAAGAATGTTGTCCTTTATGGAACTTGAGCAGTTGCATCGTCTCTGTCCCTTCCCCTGCCCCCAATCCCCCAGGACACTTGCGGTGATTCCTGAGAGGTCTTCAGTTTCCCTCCAACAGCCTAGTGGAGATTTTAAACTATCATACCAGTTGTGACCAGCCACCCATCTGATACCAGAAATTCTGCCCTCACACTTGGATCAGTTAGTAATTATGATTGAGACTGTCCGACATATTCATTTATTCAGCGGTCTTTTATTAACTTTCATTCTGCCATGTGCCGGCAAGGCATCAAAGATATGCAAGTGGAACATTAGATAATTTTGACCTGCTTAAAGTTTAATTCCATATGCAGTTACCTGTGTGTGCTAGAGTGAAAATTCCTGACCATTTGACCTTATAGATCATGAGTTTTTAGTCTGTAGCCTACCATGTGTACCCTAACTTTCTTTCTATACCTTCAGCTAGAGAGCTCTGGCTATAACAGTCCTCAACAGTCATTTCAACCAGTTATATAATGGCCTTATCATGTTCTATTAGCTTTTCTTAGGAATCTGCTATGGAAGACAGTGCTGAGTGATGGGAGATCACATAGTTGGTAAAGTGAATCAGCAGCACTACTTACTAGTTACATGACCTTGGGCAATGTGCTAAAAAAATTTTTAACAAAGAAATTATTTCCTCCCCTCCCATTTTCTTTCCTGCCAGAACATATTATTGTGGCCAAGCCAACTGTTTAGATGCATTCTTAAGGCTCTAATTAACAACAAATATCACATCACCCACATGGTTTAGTGGCAAAGAGAATGGACTGTGGCATCTGTCAGATTTGAGTCTGAATCCCAGCTTTTCCATTTACTGTGTGACCTTGAGAAAAGTATTTAACTCAAAGATAGGAGGATTCTATGAGATGACATGCCATGCATGGGCACTGTTAATAGTTACTATTGCTATCACTGTTAGTTCGTTGGATGTTGTTGGCAAAACTGAAATCTGTTGACAAGCAGCTCCTCCCGCTAGAAACATTGGAACTCTCCTGCCCCCAGGGCAGCCCAAGGGAAAATGGCTTTCTCCCCGACTCTGATTCCCTCGCAGTGATTCGTCTTATCTTGCTCCCCACTTATCATTGGCTTTAGACCAGTCTTTTTTGTTGCCAGTTACATTACTTGTAATCACACTCTTGCCCCATAAAAGGGTCTCTGTAGGCAGTTCTAGCTGGCTTTTTCTAACCTGGTAAACACCATTGATTACTTAGACTTAGGTTGAAATTAAGGCCAGCAGTTTTCTGAGAAAAATATAAAGGTATTCAGTGATCTTTGAAAAAGTGGAGGAAAGAGGCTTTGTTGTCAGAAAACTTGGGGCCTTTTTTTGGGACCCCTGAACTTATGTGCTTAAAGGGCTCAATCAGTGTCACCTTTGCAAATTGTTCTTATTAGAATGATTAATGAAAAAGCCACATATGAGTTTAGATTAATGGTGCAGGTCTATTGGCTTGACTACCCAAGCAAGATCTGCCCCAGGCCCCGTTCATTCCCCCAGCTTACCATCCTAGGGAGAAATGCATTTCTATGTACACCTAAAGATTTGCAGCCCACCCTTGGAAGATTTCATCCATGAATTCATTGCTTTTCACGTATCTGTTCATGTTCAAAGACATAAATTGTTTTCTTTTTAATTTACTATTCGAAGTAATGCAAGACTGTAGGCATCAAATTTGGTGGCAATCTCTGAATTTGCTGTCACAATAATAATGACACCAGTGATGGACCATCCCGTATGTTTCAAACACAGTGTTAGATGCTTTCATTTAAAAATACTAATTCATTAACACTGGGGCTCTTATAATAAATAATGAAAAAAAAAATAAAAAAAAATAAAAATACTAATTCTAACAAACCTACAGCAAACATTTTAGTCAACCTCAAAACTTAAGAATAAAGAACCTGGCCGGGCGCTGTGGCTCACGCCTGTAATCCTAGCTCTTGGGAGGCCGAGGCGGGCGGATTGCTCAAGGTCAGGAGTTCAAAACCAGCCTGAGCAAGAGCGAGACCCCGTCTCTACTATAAATAGAAAGAAATTAATTGGCCAACTGATATATATATAAAAAATTAGCCGGGCATGGTGGCGCATGCCTGTAGTCCCAGCTACCCGGGAGGCTGAGGCAGAAGGATCACTCGAGCCCAGGAGTTTGAGGTAGCTGTGAGCTAGGCTGACGCCATGGCACTCACTCTAGCCTGGGCAACAAAGTGAGACTCTGTCTCAAAAAAAAAAAAAAAAAAAAAAAAGAATAAAGAACCTTATATCAAGCTGCTACATCATTGTAAGAAGATTTCTATACGTTTGAATTGTTTGCTTTTCCTCTTTTATTATTAAAAGCATTATAGTGTAGATATGATAAAACAAATTATAACAGAAAGAAAATACAAGAATTCTAGTTGAAGTATTACTTTATTGGAATAATCCTAAAAAATTAATTTTAAAAGTGTAAGAAGCTGAGCACTTCAAAAAATTCTTACTCCCTGAGTTTATTAAGCTCAGTCACTTACTGTTTAAATAACGGGTTGAAAAATAAGGAAAACTAAAATTTATTGAGCACTTAGCATATACTCTACACTTGATCTTCTAGATAGCCCTACAAGATAGATGTCACTATCTTCATTTCTCAGCAGTTGGAAGTTCCTAGGAGAGGGGGGACCACATTTTACTCATCTTTGAATTCCCGCTACCTAATACATTGCCTGATATGCAGTTTGCGTTCAGTGAATACTTTTTTAATGAATCTGCATTTTACAGATGAGGCTCAGAGATTAAATCCTATAGCCAGGATCATGCAGTTTATAAACAGTTTGACCAGTTTTCAAACCCCAGAGCCACTCTCTACTGCATTATAGACCTTTCCTCACATGCCAGATTGATGTTAGGTCTTTGAAAGTTTCATGAATAATAGTTCTTTGGAATGAAACTCCTTACCTTGAAACTCCTTGAATCTATTATGGCATCTTAGATATTACAAGAATTCTAGCAATTTATATTTGAATCTGAAGAACTGCAATAATTGTTACCATTTCAGTGAGCTGAGGTAGGATTGCGGCATCTAGAACCTTGGACCAGACTGCCTAGGTTTGCATTCCAATGCTGACACTGAATCCCTAGTGAGGATTTCCATCTAAATAAAATAGGGCTATTAATAGCACCTAATCTGTAGGTGGTTGTAAAGATTAAATGAGTTCATTGATTATAAATAATTAGAACAGGATGTGGGGCAGAATTAGTCTGCATAAATGTCAGTTATTATTGTTATTACTCCTTATCTTCTCCAATGTGTTATTACCTCCATTTTAAACATAGTTTATTTGAATTCTTTTATATTGCTCTTTCCTGTACTCCTCAATATACTTTATAAAAGTGGTTTTGGGGTACCCATTCTCTCAATAGAAATCTAATTTCTGCCCATTAGGGTTTAACAGCAGCTCTGTCACTCTCCTGGGCACTTCAGTAAAGCAAGCGTTTAATATGTCTCTTCCTCTCCTTGGGCTCTTTGGATCTGTGGACATTTCCCAAGAACTACTGTTTTTCAGTCCTATCCAGAGCATTAATGCTTATTAGAGGGCTTCACAAATTCAAGTGCTATAAAATGTAAATTTAGAAATTTATCTGCTTACATTTTATAAGTTGGTTGTTCTAAATAATTAATGCAGCAGGAATTTTTACTGTATTGAATCCTAGTGAATGGTCTTTTCACTATTTGAACGTCAAGATTACATATTAGCAGCATCAGTATAGAGTTTATTGCAGGTGAAAACCCTCACCCTCATCACTTGTATCTGAATGAACCATTACAAGATTACAAGTGATTGGAAGATGCTGCAGTTGGCTACATGAATCCAGTGATTCTCAGCCC